GTACGTTTCAACATCTTCAGATTGATGGTGAATGTTTGGGTTCAGGCTGCACCTGGTGCCCTAAGTCTTTCTGGTTTCTTTTATGCAGGCGCAGGGGAGTTTGCTTTTGCTGTCTTTGAAGCTGCGTGGATGCAGTTTGGCCTTCTAATCCACATAAAACCACCTACCAGACCTTTTAAAACCCAAAGCTTCACAAATGAGATACTCATAGGAAAGGGAATAGTCTTCTGGTCACATTATTTACAGTTCTCTCTTCCAAAATTTAATGCACAGACATACACTTTGGCTATACCAAATCCCCTGTCCTGAAGGAGGCATTTTGCTGCATGTAGGTAAAGACATTGATGAGTAGTACCCTGTGTATACTGTAAATAATTGTATTACTATGCATGGGATTTTTCCATTATGAAAATGAGTCAATAAATATTTATTGAATACCTACTATGTGGTGGGCACTGTGGGTTGGCCCAGGGTGAAAAGGCAACAATATTCATGTCTTCATAGTGTTTACAGAAATACTGTGCAAAATGATGCCTTTATCAAGGATAGTAAATCATTCTAGGCTCTGGATTCTCTTTTGGTCTATTTATACATGCATGTTTTTAATCAATGTAAGCATCTATTAAAATAGAATAAGACACAGAAAAGCACATAGATCAAGTGTATAGCTCAGAACAATTTTCACCCAGTGAACACACCCATGAAACCAGAAGCCAGGTCAAGAGGCAGACCGTGCTTGACCCCAGCTGAAGTGAGGAAGAACTTTAATTTTGGATAGGTGCTGATGGTTTCCTTTTCCTTTTCAGTCCAAGATTTACACTCACACACCAACCTTATATTTGGACTTCAAACTGGACGCTGGAGCCAAGCACTGCCAGCCTATTCCTAAAGGTATGATGACTTCTGGGATTTCATCAAAAGAAAAAAAAACAAGAGGCTACTTTCTCAGAAATGGGCTCATTTCTGAACCTCAACACAAGATTCTGTGATCTTTGTTTATGTGTAAGTAGAAGATCAGGTAGAAGATCAGGTAGAATTCATAGAACGTTAGGGCTGGACTGTCTGCCCCCTCCCCCCCATTTTACAGGTGTAAACACTAAGACCCAACAGAGTAGTTACTTGTTCAAGTCCTCATGAAGACTTGCTGGACAAGGCAGAACTTTTACCCATGTCTCCTGATTTCCTGGCCACCGGTGCCTCTAAGTGTTCCTGGAGGCAAATTCCAACCTTTTCACTTACGAACAGGTGTGCCCCTGATTGAGATATAGGGATCTTTTGATAAAAGTATTATTATGGATGACTTACCTTTAAGTCAACTTTCAAATTCAAAGACTACTTAGAAAACTGCCAAGTGTCTAAGTCCAATTTTGTTTATTTATTTATTTAAAGATTTTATTTACTTAGAGAGCACAAGTGTCGGGAGGGCGAGAGGGAGAGAGAAAATCTCAAGCAGACTCCCCACCAAGCGTGGAGCTCCATGTGGGGCTGGATCTCATGACTCTGAGACCACGACCCGAGTTTGAAGCCAAGAATTGGATGCTCAATTGACTGAGTCACCCAGGCACCCCCCCCACCCATGAAGGCCAATTTTATTTTTAGAAATGGTAGCACCTGAGGTCATTAGGCATTCACCTCGAATCCATTATTTTCTTCTTTGGTTTTGTGGTTCTGGCTATTTTAAGGCACAGAAGAACTTTTTAATTAATACACTTAAACATATGCCTACCCCTTAAAACACATTTTTTTAATAACAATAAGGATGAAAGCACATATTTTTTAATGGATTTTATTTTTTTTAATTTAATTTTATTTATTTATTTGAGAGAGAGAGAGAGAGCATGAGAGGGGAGAAGGTCAGAGGGAGAAGCAGACTCCCCATGGAGCTGGGAGCCTGATGCGGGACTCGATCCCAGGACTCGCAGATCATGACCTGAGCCGAAGGCAGTCACTGAACCAGCTGAGCCACCCAGGCGTCTTAATGGATTTTATTTTTAGGTAACTTCTACACCCAACATGCGACTTGAACTCACAGCCCCGACGTCGAGTTGCGTGTTTTTCTGAGTGAGCCAGCCAGCTGCCCCTGAAAGCACATATGCTTTAACCATTAGTGCAGTGCTTTTGCTTTTCATTTTGACTTTGCTCCCTCCAGTTCCTTCCAGTACCTTCCCTATACATCCCAGCTCTAGGATGTATCCTAGATATATACTCAGATTAGATCTCATAGCGGCGGCAACCTGGGCTATGGGTTGGATGTGATGCATCCAGCTCGTCTCTAAGCGGGTCCTCCCTTCGTATCTAGTGCTTGGCCATCCTTGTCCACCTGTCCTTCCGCACGGGGACTTATTTTAATGCAGTGGTTTTCCAGGGATGGTCGCAAGGTAGATGAGGTAGATGCACGTTTAATTTCAAAACACATTGTCAGACAAGCACAATCCCACTTTCCATCGGGAACATTTGAGAGCGCCAGCTGCTCAGTGACCCCACTGACACTAAGCCACTGGTTCCTGTTGAGTTTTGTTCTACCCTTAGTCACTACTCTATATGGCCTCACAAGAGAATGTGATATGTCACTTGAAAAGGGTAGACTTCGGTTTTAGTTCATCCTTCTAAATTCTAAACCTGAGATTTGTTTTCAAAAACATTTTTGGAGCGGGGCGCCTGGGTGGCTCAGTGGGTTAAAGTCTCTGCCATCGACTCGGGTCATGATCCCAGGGTCCTGGGATCGAGCCCCCATCGGGCTCTCTGCTCGGCGGGGACCCTGCTTCCTCCTCTCTCTCTGTCTGTCTCTCTGCCTACTTGTGATTTCTGTCTGTCAAATAAATAAATAAAATCTTTAAAAAAAATTTTGGAGGGATGCCAAAGCTAGTGGCTTAGAAACGCACGTTTACACTGAGTCAGTATAAACCCATTTGCAACAAGTCTGTTATAAACCCAACTGTGAAGCCGAAGGACCTGTCTTTTCTAAGACATCACTCCAATTATACTGTGTCCCCTCTTTTTCTCAGTGTCTCTGTCTCTGTCTCTGTCTCTGTCTCTCTCTCTCTCTCTCACACACACACACACACACACACACACACACAAAAACACACATATCCCTGTTTACATTCAGTGACAAATCCAGAGTTTGGGGCATCTCTGTCCAGCACCAGACAAACAATTTAATTCCAGTATATATATATATATAAGGCACTTATTATTTACAGATTTGATACTTGCGGCTACCTGTAATCAGCCATATTGACTGGTGAAATCATGTTGCATAAATTTTATTATCAAGTCGTTTAAGTCAAGGTCACCCTGTGTCCTTTTTTTTTTTTAAACCCCCTCCTGGGCCAAATTCCATTATGAAACCCAAGGACTGTTTAAATTCATTTTATTTGGGTGCTTTGCTGCAGCCAGTATTTCTTGAAATGTGTTCGTCATTGTCTGGGTCCTGGACATATTTTGTTTGTAATATTTTAATTGTTTTGTTACTCACAGTAAAGGGGTTTGACATGGATGTCTGGGTTATGTTTGGCTTTTGGCATGAGCTTCGCAATCTCACTGATCTAATATTGACATCATTGTATCATTACCAAAGCAGTGGGCTAGAACTAGAGGCAAGACAGCACTACCATCGCACCCCTAATTCCAGGGAAATACAGATTTCCTGAGGGACATCCCATTAAGGGTGGTTGGAAGCATTTCTCATGAATCAGACTGGGTTTTATCTGAATTATTTCCCATAAATAGTATAAGAATTGGTTTTTACCATCTCTGTCTTGCCTTTTTTAAGGCCTATTCCTATGGAGTTCGGCTAATCCCGCAGAAAACAGATGTTTCATGCAGTGATGGTTTGGAAGGGAGCTGATTGCATGAACGGAGCATCACTTACAAAGAATCCAATTTGTCAGGCCTCTGACAATACCAGATTCCTTTAACATTGGCTGCACGTTTTTCATGTTGTTCTTGGCTGAAATAGGAATAAGTAGTTGTTTTTTGGTTTGTTTGTGGGTTTTTTTGCCATGACTTTTACCATCTCTTACAAATCAATCTGATTTTCCTTGCTGCAAATTGACTTACAGACAACACTTTTGTCATTCACTGAGAAACACCAAATCCATACTCCTAGGAAAATTCCAGTCTTGCCCAAGAGACTTGGACCTTCTGGTCCTCACGTCCCCTTTGTCTTCTGATGGCATCAAAGTGTGGCTCTGAACAGCGCCTCTGTGGCTCCCCCATCTTTCTGCACGGGGATTCTACCACTACGCATGCATGCATTCATTCATTTTATTTAAGATTTTATTTATCTATCTGACAGAGAGAGCACAAGTAGGCAGAATGGCAGGCAGAGGGAGAGGGAGAAGCAGGTTCCCTGCTGAGCAGAGAGCCCAATGCAGGGCTCGATCCCAGAACCCTGAGATCTTGACCTGAGCCAAAGGCAGAGGCTTAACCCACTAAGCCACCCAGGTGCCCCTTTCTGTTACTAGGTATTTAAAGGCATGATCTACAATGTTAAAAATGGACGATGGTTATGGCATGGAAAAACTTCCTCGTGTAAGTATTTTTTGCTTCCCCAATCTTTTAGTTTTCTTTACAGTATATATCCATCAATCCCCCCAATTTCTGCTATCCAGGAGAGTAGCCTGGATAGTCCAGGTGGACCCAGTATAATCAAAGGGTCTGTGTAAAAGAAGGAGGAAGCGAGAGTCCGAGGGAAAGGTGTGATGGTGGAAACATAAGTCCAGGTGATACCGTTGCTGCTTTTGGAAAATGGGAGGGGGGCCTTGGGCCAAGCAGGAGGGGCAACCTCTAGAAGTTAGAAGAGGCAGGGAAGTGCATTTCCCCCTAAAGCCTCCAGAAGGAAGGCTGTCCTACTGGTACCTTGATTTTAGGACCCGGAGACCCATCTTTGGACACAAACCCCCCAGCATTATTAGATAACAAGGTTGTGTTGTTTTAAGCCAGCAAGTTTTTGTCATTATTATAGAAACCATAGGAAACGCATACGTTTTCTTAAATATTGTCAACATATTTTTGCTTTGGTGGGAGGAACAAACAGAAAGGAGCCCTGTCAATTACATTGCACTAGAACTGGTGGGAAAATAGAAATCAGCACTTCAGAGTGCTTTTTGAAAAAGTAGATTGTAGGGGCACATGGGTGGCAGAGTCGGTGAAATGTCTGACTCTTGGTTTTGGCTCAGGTCGTGATCTCAGGGCCCTGCTCTCAGCGTGGAGTCTGTTTCGGATTCTCTCTCCCTTCTCCCTCTCCCCCTCCCCACCCACCCCCACTCTCTGCTCTTGCTCTAAAATAAATTAATATATCTTTTTTTTTAAAGAAAGTGGATTTTAATGCTGTGCATACACTAGCTACTCCGTAAATCCAATTAGGATCCATTCAAATAAATATTACTGTGTTACTTATCCGTGTTGCTCTCAAACAAATTACTCTCAAATGTAGTGGCTTAAGATCACACTTGTTATCTCACACTTTAGCTGTGCTCTCTGGCTCAGGGACTCGTACAAGGCTGCAAGGGACGGGTCAGCGGGGTTGTAGCAATCCCAGGGCTTGACTGGGAAGGACGCGCTTCCAAGCCCACACCCCTGTGGCTGGGGACAGCCCTCAGTTTCTTGGGGTTGTTGGCTGTGGCCAGCTGTTACTTCCTTGCCACGTGGGCCTCTCCCTAGGATGACTCACAACGTGGCCTCTGGCTTTTTCAGAGCCTACGAGTGAGAGAGGAACAGTGAACATATGGAAACCAGAGGCTGTCACCCGATATCAAAAGCGACATCCCATTACTTTTGCCCATTCTGCTGGTTAGAACCAGGCCACCAGATGCAGCCCCCACTCAGAGAAGAGAGAATTACCCAGGGCATGACTATGAGGCAGGGGGTGTCTTAAGTCAACTTGTCAAGCTTACGATCTCGAGTCAGAGGGCCAGACATTTTTCCGTACGGTCAGTGACTCGAAAATGAAGTCATCTTTCTTTTTCTCTTATGATTTCTTTCTTTTTTTTTTTTTTTAATGGAAGGCAGGCCAGGGGAGGCATGATGAATTCTCCTCAGAGTTCCTGCCTAAATGTCTCTTCACAGTCATTATCTACTTTTTTTTTAAAGATTTTATTTATTTATTTGACAGAGAAAGAGCACAAGTAGGGGGAGCAGCAGGCAGAGGGAGAGGGAGAAGCAGGCTCCCCCCAAGCAGAGAGCCCTACGTGGGGCTCGATCCTAGGACCCCGGAATCATGACCTGAGCCAAAGGCAGAGGCTTAACTGACTGAGCCACCCAAGTGCCCCCATTATTTACTTTTTAAGGGAGGATGCCCCAAACATGGATGATTCATGTAGAATTTTAGACTTTCAGCGTGTTCCATAGAGAGAGGAAAGGCTGATTTTGTTCACTACACAGAATGCATGATTTAATTCATGGCTAGTTTTTGCCAAGCTCTCTACTTACCAGTAGTACATTAAAATATTCAATCACCGTGCCTCTCACCCTTAGGATATATTCATAACAGTTACGGATGTTAGTAAGTCTTCAGAGCAGTGATGAACACAAACCAGAGCCCGAGCATAAGATTATCTAGAAAGAAGCTTCATATCATTTTCCTTTGGGTGGGTTGTCTTGTCTTTTTCATACTGATTTGTGGGGGCTCTTTATTATTTTTTAAAGTATTTTATTTATTTATTTGACAGACAGAGATCACAAGTAGGCAGAGAGGCAGGCAGAGAGAGAGGAGGAAGCAGACTCCCTGCAGAGCAGAGAGCCCAATGTGAGGCTCGATCCCAGACCCTGGGATCATGACCTGAGCCGAAGGCAGAGGCTTTAACCCACTGAGCCACCCAGGAGCCCCTGTAGGGACTCTTTATATATTATTTTTTAAAGTTCATTTTTATTTAAATTCAGTTAATATATAATGTATTATGGGTTTCAGAGGATCTTTATATATTCTAGATGCTTTTCATTGTGAGTTATTTGTAATATAATATGAGAAGATATATCCAAATATCTTCTCCCTTTTGCCTTGTTTTTCACTCTTGTATATACTATCATATTTTTCTATATGTTAATAAATAAAAATTCCTTTAATTTATTGGTTTGTTCCTGGGGCGCCTGGGTGACTGAGTCGGTTGAGTGGCTGCCTTCAGCTCAGGTCATGATCCTGGAGTCCTGGGATCGAGCCCCACGTCGGGCTCTCTACTTGGGCAGG